TTATGTTAACCCTAGAAATTGTACATTCTGTAAAGTGAATTAAATTTCCATCCTTGTTGTCAAATGAAACTTTTTTATAAATCCTATGGTTTTTGAGTTATTAAGCTTTGAAAAATAAAAATAGCTGCCATTTTTAAATTATATAAATTAGAAACTTGATGCTTTGTCAAGAAGATAGTTCCTATTAGTCATCATACGCATACCAAGTTTGAAGTTGGTACATCAAATGGTTCCAAAGCTATGTAAAAAATACATACACACTGACAGACATAAAACAAAAGCAAGATAAGACATAAGTTTATATGATATTTTTTTGCTTGTTTTGACCTAAGGAACATGCCGAAGGAGTTTTGGGAGAGATTGAAAACACCCTATACATTGTTTGTCTGTGTTTGTTTATTTGAAGGAGTTTGCAAACCAGCACTATTGGACAATGGGAACAGGGTTTTACAGAGTCAAGGGTCCGCAGGACATCGACTCAGAAATCTCAGCTCAGGCTTCAGTATCTATGTTGCGCCATTGAACAGCACAGCAAGAAGCGCTTGCAGACGTTCACGGCAACTAACTTTTTAAACTACCCATACATGCTAGTAAAAAACAATGAGTGGGTTTTTACAGAACATAGAACAATCTATGCATCTCTGGTTTTAGAATTTTAAAGTAACAATTCTATAATGAGTTAAAGCAGTTTAAAATTGCCATTTTTTTTCTACATTCAAAGAAGATTTTCAGACTTTATGGTACGATATTAAAAATATTGAAACCACAACACTCTAAATAATTTAATCCTCTTCAAAATGCCACCCTAACTTTGATTCTACGTTAAGTGTAGCCTTCGGAAACACGGTTGCCCCAGACCCTTGGGCATAGACTAACCAACACAAGTAGACTTCTCATCCCATTGTAAATTTTGAAGCGCGTTTTTCGTGTCTAGTTCATGTACGTGACACAAAGGCGCTAGTGTCGATGAAACTTTGTTTCCATTATTTTAGGGTTAATTTCTTGATTTGTGCTTTACTGTTTGGTTATATAACTAGGGGATAAGTTATTGTTTATGATTATATCGTATTATTTGGTTAAACGAGGTTTTAAATGGCTGTAATAACGGGAAACAAATTGTAAACAAAACACGACCTCTACATAAACCGTACATGAACTAACAATAAAATTGTCTTCAGCTGTTCCATAAGGATGAGAAATCTACTAAGGGAGTATGTTTTATCTATGCCTTGGGTTTACACAAAACGGTAGAGGTAGGGCATACCATAACATCTTTTTCTCATTTTTCACTCTCAAAGGCCTCAAAATATAGTTTTGCAGTTTCATCGCGAAACATTTTGTAAAGCTCAAAAGAACAAATAATTTAAGCGTTGTGCGTAACAGGGATGTTCGTGCGTAACAGGGAAATGGTAACAGGAAAAATATAGAAAAAAACTATAAATTTAAACTTTCCATGTTCATCTTATGGAGAAAAAGTTCTCTGTTTTAGTACCTTGTTTATGGATATATGTTAATAAATTTGGTAAATTCCTTTATTCCATTCCAAATGGCTATTGAAATTTGAATAAAAAACACACTATGACATTCCTTGTAGCAGCAACCCTAAGTAATTACTAAATCTAATGTTATTTAAATCCTATTATAAATGAGAAAGTTTGGATGTATGGATGTATGGATGGATGTATGGATGTATGTTTGTGACAAGTGAACGCAAAAAATACTGGTCGGATTGGGCTGAAATTTGGCATGATGATAGCTCACATTCCCGATTAACATATAGGCATATTCTTATTTCAAAAATCCTATCGGGCTCCGCCCCAGTGGCTCTGGAGTTTCCCATGTTAACCTTATGAGAAATGGAATTATTGAATCTTAACAGCTGTTTCAATTAAACAAGTTGGTTCTGTTCTATGATGTTCAATAGCGTTAAAGTTACAAGAATTACCAACAGGGTGCAGCACTATTATTTCTTTTACATTTATGACAACAGCTAATTTGCAACCAAAAGGTGAGTGAGCGTAGCGAACGAACTTCAACCTGGAGGCGAGTTAGCGTAGCGAACGAGCTAACCTGAGGGCAGGTGAGCGCAGCGAACGAGCTCCAACCTAAAGGTGAGTGAGCGTAGCGAACGAGCTCCAACCTAAAGGTGAGTGAGCATAGCGAACAAACTTCAACCACGACGTGATTGAGCCATGCGAACGAGATAATCTTGAAAATTAAGAAGTTAAACGGGGCAAAGCCCGCGGGTTACAGCTAGTGGAGAATAAATCTAACATGTTTGAGGAAATATTTCATTGGAAATCTGATCAGGCAAATAGGAATTTGCTTAGTCTGCAGGTTTGCGGAGGGGATTTTGTCAAATTTTTACCTTTAAAAGATGAAAATGCCCAATTTTCATTATAGCCATCGTTAAGAGATTAAATACCCACGCCACAGCAAACCTGCAAACTAAACAAATTTCCATTTGCCTGAATTTTTTACTAAAATATCTCCTTAAAAATGTCATTTATTCCCTATTTAAATAACACTAGGTTTAACGAGTACTGAGGTTTGCTGTTAGAGGGAAGTGAATAAAGAGTTTTTTTTTCTTTCAGAGAAATGTTAATATAGTCCAGGCGCTGAGGGGGTTTGAGGCATGCATAAAAGTATAAAAAAAATAAATAAAAAAATCATAATATCTTGAGAACCAAAAGTCATATGAATACGTTAGACATGTTAAACTGTGCAGATAAATTCGTTCTAAAAAAGATTATGTAGTAGTTTGACAGACAACGACGAGAAGTTAGTGAAAATTATTTTTTTTTAAATTTAGGATAAGTTAAACCAGGAATATTATGGTTTTTGTTGTTGTTTAGAACCACTGATGATTTAAATAATAACTTTGGAGAGTGGTAAGTGATTGGTAAATAATATTTCCGTAGAATAAACTATCGGACATAACTTAATAGCCATAGTCGTTTTCCGTCAAACTACCACATAATATTTTTAGAACACATTTTTCTGCACAGTTTGACATGTCATCATATGACTAATTGTTTTCGAGATATAAGCTATTTTGTGCGCAGTGGCTCACATAAATTTGATCAAAATATGTTCATAATCAAGCAAACTACAACAGTTTACTTATTCTCCATAAAGAATAACATGGAGTTTTAAATATACAGGCGTTTGGAATTTTCTCTTTAACCATTGACCGTTGAGCAGCCACCTATTCTTTACAACATGAATCGTTGTACAGTTTATGATTTAAAAATAAATCGTAAACTATTACAACAACTATCTATGAGTAATATTTTGACAGACCATCAACAGTTTTTTTAAAGTAGTTTTTAAGGTCAGTGTTACTGGAGAGGGTGCATGCAGAGATTTTATCCGCTATGAAGCAATTGATTAGCCTATACCTCTCGGTTATCTATCATCGGACACATATATATTATATACAGGGTGATTGAAAAGTCTGGGTACGGCTTAATATTTTAAAATATAATGCAGATTGAGCTACAATACTTGGTACAAGGTTACAGGGCATAAAACTCTATTTCAACACATATTCAGTGATCCAATAACTCTTCAGGGGGACGGCCCACAAGGAGTCGGAAGAAAATCTTAAATGGAAGCATAGGTCAATATGCACATCAAATTAAAGGTCTTTTTTAGTAGAATACAATGCCGCAAATTGTACTTCAAAAGGTTGATCCTGCGCAAAATGGCAGGTGTTCAAAGATTTCTTGAATCCGCCATTTTGAATCTTTGAACGACTGTCATTTTTTACTCAGGCATTCTTTTGAGCTTGAATTTACGGCATTGTAATCTACTAGTGAAGACCTTTAATTTGATGTGCATATCGACCTATGCTTACGTTAACAATTTTCTTCCGATTCCTAGGGCTGTGCCCCCTGAGGAGTAAGCGTATAATAGCAATGTAAATTAAATGAATCTTTGAACAACTGTCATTTTGCGCAGGATCAACCTTTTGAAGTGCGGTTTGCGGCATTGTATTCTACTAAAAAAGACCTTTAATTTGATGTGCATATTGACCTATGCTTCCATTTAAGATTTTCTTCCGACTCCTTGTGGGCCGTCCCCCTGAAGAGTTATTGGATCACTGAATATGTGTTGAAATAGAAATTTATGCCCTGTAACCTTGTACCAAGTATTGTAGCTCAATCTGCATTATATTTTAAAATATTAAGCCGTACCCAGACTTTTCAATCATCCTGTATGAATTTCATCAGACAGTCTTTTTGGTCTCGGACATCAAAACAAAAAAGTAAAGCGGTCCAGGTCTTACCATGAGACCTACGGTAATAGCTTATTCCCTATGTGGGAAATTCGCTAAAACAAAACAAAGGCATTCATCAGGAGGCTAAATACGCTTACACTTTCCTAACTAAGATGGTTTGTCCAATTTGTATATTTTGAATTACACTCTTATCCCTGAGTTATTGACGTCAAACTTATCCCCTCTTTCACTCTAAATGCAACCTATTGCATGAGTGTAATGTAGAAGAAAACGGACAGTTACCAATGTTGATGTAATGGGACTGCACATAAATTTAGTTACAAACTTGTCTTTCAATAAAATCTCTAACATCAAAAATAAGAAAACTCAAATTTATATGTAGCATTATACTTTAATACTTTTCATTTAAATGGAGACCATACAAAGTAGGTATTTTAAGCCAAGTATGAATGAAGGTGAGTGTAGGATGAGTGGCACGATCTTGTAGTCTTGTTAAGTGACTATGCCATCCTCTTGATTACTTTTGATTCAGCTTAAAGTCAAGCAACTCTATTCATCACAGACCAAAATCAAGCTGGTAAGTGGTAAAATATTTACCAGGATAAATAAATAAAAAAAATTCCTAGAAGTCGTGTTCTCATCACTAATTAAACCTAATTTGTTCTTAAATTGACTAAGGTTCTTAAACTAGTAAATTTATTGAGTACACAAAGTAAATTTACAATTTTTATTGCAGGAATAGAATGAATATCTGGTAACTAGATTATATGTCCCTTTTACTTTCCAGTATAAACCTTTCTGTTAAAATGATCCATAACTTTCCACCATAACATTCCACCATGTTTACATTAATTTTGATTTTGTTTTGTCACCACTCTTTACATAAAATGGTAACCTGTTCATTGTCCTAGCTACATACCTTCTATACTGAAGTGGGATCAGAACACATATTTTTAGACACCTTACTTGTGAGTTTCAAACTAGTCGATCGATCTCTGCGTGGTTGTGGAGGCATGAACCACGATGGATGCTGGAGTATTTCACTGGTCCGTGAATCTGGAGGAAAAGTTATCTCACAGAGGTTGTGCTCCTCGGGAGCTATGGTAGACGCAGGAAAGTAAGTTGTCTTTTGAGATCTGTTGTTGTCTACCATAACGACCATTTCTTCAACATCTTCTTCACTCAGAGAATAATCTACTCTCGGATGTCTAATACCAATCATCATCCCAGGAATTTGAGAACTCTCTGTTTTCCAACACTGAGTCTTGCCCGCATCAAATCTCTTTCTGATTTGCCTGTTGCAGAAAAATCTTCGGAACTCTCTTCTAAATCTTGGATGAGTAACCGCATACACGTAAGGATCTATGCAGCTAGCTGTTTTGCAAAAAAGTGCTGGTATCATAGACGATAAAGGTGAGAGCAGATGAGCATTGCCAGAAACACCTAAAAGCGCCACAATGGCGTAGGGTGTCCAAGATAAAAACCACAAACCAATAACACCAACTATAACTCCAGCTAGTCTTATCTCAGTCTTCCTCTTCTCTTCCTCCTGGCCTCTCCGAGATGAGGCTCCACTGGACCCGCTGATGACCACTCGGTATATCCTGATGTAGCAGAAAGTGATCACACTGAAGGGTACAACCCAAGCGGCAAAGAAAAACACCAAGATGAAAACTCGACTGTGAAATGACTGGTTGAGGTAGTCAAAACTACAGCTGGTCAAGTATCCTTCTGGCACATATCTGAAAATTAATCGTCATTAGATAGATTATTAAATAAAGTAGTTTATAGCTTTAACTATTGATAAAACTACACATTACATTCCCGCGTAAAATTTGTTGCCAGTTTTTTAATTGAAATGGACTTGGTTGAATTGAGCCACCGAGAGGTTGAGCTGATGTAAATTACTGATTTGTGACAAATATGCAAAATCAAGTTAATCTAATAGTGACTTATTGTAAGCCAAAGCATCTTTTATGTCACTTCAACCAAATCAGTAACTGAAAATATGGTATAAAATAGAATTTTAGATACCTACTAGCGCACAATGTGACTGGCTCATTCACGTATGTTCTTGTTCATTAAAATATTGGAAGTAATAAAAAAAGAAATTTAATGATTTTTTAGCTGATGGCTTGGACAAAAAAACTATGCCAGTTAAGTGATTGTTTTTTTTGAGAGCTCAAAGCACTCCAATGACTCAAAGGTCCGTACAAAATAACAACTTTCAAATAGCCACTTATTAAATTGTAATTGTGGTATCGTGACTTACTTGACTTATTTACTGTCGCTCCTTAGCGGGAGCATAGGGCATCTTCTCGATGCCCTATGCTCCCGCTAGAGCATGTTGTAATCGTGGTATCGTAGTTGGATATAAATACCTGGAGAAACCATAGTTAGTAAGTGGCATGCTGGCGAAGGTACATCCGTAACACCAGACAAAAGCCACACATAGTCTAGCTCGTTGACGAGTGGTCCTTCGGAGAGGGTCCAACGGGTAGACAATGACGTAGTAGCGATCCAGAGCAATGGCCGCAAGAGTCATGATGGACACTGTACCAGTCAGTCCACCTAGGAACCCGTACACCTCACAACCTGAGCACCAAATTAGTACAACATTATATTATAGGACATTACAATACATTATAGGAGTTTTACTTGTGCTTCTCTACTAGACCATTTTGACATTTTTTGATGTTTTTGTAGAACAGTCCAAACACTAGTCTTGTCACTATCTAACCTAAACATTTCATTTGATAGCATCATTAATTGATTGCCCACAGGCATCTGGGTCTTGAATTGATTCCATTTAACTAGCACCATTCAGATTTGTCGGTGAGCATTATACTGCAACCACTTGGCAACCAAGACCACAATTTTTTTAACATTTCCTCAGAGACATCAATTTAGTTAATGCAGACGGGCTTGTTTTGAACTCAAGCTAGATTATATTTTAAAACGTTTTTACTAGCACACTTTCTTGTCCGGTACAAATTTTGTAACCCATTTTATACTAACTTCCCGATGAGCTAGATACTTGAAACTTGAAACATAGCTGACAAATGGATGACAATGCAATATTATATAATTTAATTTGCATAATTCCCTTGAGCTAAGCCCCATGGGCTTGTCCGGTACAAACTTTGCAATCAATTTTATACTAACTTCCCGATGAGCTAGAGACTTGAAACTTGAAACATATAGCTCACAAATGGATAACAATGCAATATTATATCATATAATTTTCATATCTCCCTTTGGCTACACCCCATTGGCTTCCAAATTTTCCATGTTTACATTTTGAAAGATTGAAATATATCAATTAATTTAAGTCAGCTGTAAATACTTAAATTTGACAGTTAGAAGAGCAGAGGTTAAGAGGTACAGGTTCTGCTCCCGAGATATTCTAAAATAATTTATTTTTGTAAAAAAATACAATTGACTTCAAACGCTCTAAAAAGAATGAAATAATTTCAATAAAGTAAACTTTTGTATTAGTCAAGCTCACGTATTTTAAGTCAGCGCTATGATGATTTTTGATACAAAATTGAAAGAGGATGTCCTTATTGCAGGTGACTATCTATAACTAAAGGTCTTTGGTAAAGGTCTTTTGTCTGCATGTCTTTTTCGTAGTTATGTGTTGGGTGTTATTTTTTTACCGTAACCAAAGATCAGCATTATAGTGGTATTAACGAGTATCTTTAAAAAGATTATAATGCATTTAAATGTTTCTAACTTGGAAAAGTAACGTTTTTTAATACTAAACTACCTTCTTTTCCCTATAATAATATCAAAATCTATTCATAAAGAACATTTGTGTGTGTTATTTTCATAATGCATTCATTCTGAAGTAAACATAAAATACAAGAAAATACTTTCTTTGATATATAAACAAAACAGTTCAGTATGGTTTTTATATAATTTATGTTATCCAGCTACAATTTATTGATTTTCAAAATACACACATAATATTTTATTTTAATCATATTTGCAGTTAGAGCCGCGCCGACTTGAAATACGTGAGCTTGACTAATACAAAAGTTTTTATTGAAATTATTTCATTCTTTTTAGAGCGTTTGAAGTCGGTTGTATTTTTTTACAAAAATAAATTATTTCATGATTTTTAGTGACTGTATGATTTGTTATATATCAATTACTTGAGGTTTTTTGATAAGCAAAACTGTTCGAAACAATCAAAAGTGCCACAGAACAATCATTATTTTAAAACTGCTTGAATCAACTGTTCAGGTTACATAATCAATGGGTATAAAAATAAACATTTTTAGATATTCCTTAAAAATCAAAGAGTTGTCCATTACATTAGGCCTAATGAAAAACTGAATGTCTTTTCTAGAGACATTGAAATGTCAGACATCATCGTTTTATGCAATAGGTGTACTTCTACATTATAAAAAGAAATACAGTAACATCTCAAGCCTTTTGGAACAATGAACAATGAAAGTTATTCCTCAGCTACCAGCACTAAAAAATCTCTCAAAAGTAGAAAATTGGTCGTTATCATGTATTGTACCTTTGGAAAATATGTATATGAAAGATTGGTTCAGCTAAAAGTGGTGTAAGCCGGGTAGGTGGTTTTGTTTGCTCAAGATGTAGTTGAAATTGCAAATCAGCTTCCTCCAGGACTTTTCGAAGCAGGCATAATAGTATTGATATGATATAGTGATATAGTAACTGGGTAGAGAATATTAATAAACATTCCACATCTGCAAATGCATGTTTAGTCATTAAAATATTTAACACTTTTAAGACGATTGACAATTATGCACTCTCACACTTCTTAGGATTTAATTTATATTTAAACCTCTTTTACGAATGCTTTGGTTTTCACAATACACCTTTATTTGTCAATATCATACAGCTATTCACTGAAACATATAATATGTTTTTATAAGTCAGAATATTCAATACTAAAAACAGAATTACTGTATACACAAATCAGGTCAAACCTTAAAATACCTTTTTTATAGTAACCAAAACAAAATGCATTTTATCAATGTAATTTATTTAGGCTCCATGGCAAGAAATAGTTTATTAATCAATATGAAGCAACTGTTTCATGAAGAATTGTCTGTAGCATTTAAATAGTTTCAACTAACACCTGTAGTAATGTGTTATTATTATTTATTTCCTTCTCTGCACAAATATAAACAAAATAAATGTTGAGTATTTGTGGTTTCATTTTTCACCAAAACAAATATTACACTTAAACATAATATATATATGGGACCAAATAGAAACTCTCCTGGTTATTTTGGTGGTGGAACCACACTGATCGGTAAAAGAATCACAGAGAAATTGGTGAACATACATAGAAAAAAAAACATCGCCACAAACTAATTGAGAACCTCCTCCTTTTGTTGGTAGTGGGGAAGTCGGTTAAATATAAAACAAGCATTTCAAAGTAAAGATAAAACATCTGATTACAGATAATAAGGTTTTGGTTATGTATTAACAGGCCACATAAAATAGATTTAACATATTTACACATTAAAGACTAATAATTAGAAAATAATTTATAAATAAAAAAACTTTTAAAAAATTCCACGTTTATAACGCACTAAAAAGTATAAAATCTATACTATTATATACAAATCTAATGGTGTCTGTCTGTATGTGTATTACTAATAAGTGCAAAAACTACTGAACCAACTGGGCTTAAATTATACAAAAATATAGCTACCATACCAAGGACCATTATAGGACTATTCACATTTCGATACTGACCGTAGGCTTTGCCCCTTTGGCTTTAAAAATTCTGAGGTGAACATTTTAAAAGTAAATATTGATTGGTCTCCATGGCTGTGATGAGAACACTAATGTTTGTTTACATTTGCTTTGACATTTAAATGTAAACAAGAAGAACTGCTAAACTGCATATTTCACAATTTTAGACAGCTGATACAAAGAAATTAAATATAATATTTTCCATAACTATGAGGTAGGTTTACTTTAATCTAACTTTTTATCATGGATTATTTATTCTAAAACTATGTCAATGATTATAGAAAAAAAAGATTCTATAACCGTTGCTGTATCAACTCAAGGCCCCACTCAAAGCGTCTAAGTTATGAAAATAATGTTATTGATATGTTTTCATGGAAACAGTATGAAAATTACAATGTATAGATGGTTTGTATGAATTTGGAGGCTACTTTAAATAAATTGAAACTGCTTAACATGTGTTAGATTAACTTAACATAACTTGCACATCACATTGTTTTTATATGTATATTTAGGTAAATTAAGTTATTGTGTTTTGCTAAACCTTAAACCTATGCTTAAACTAAACTAAAGAATATCATCAATAACTAAATTGTACGTTGATTTTTGTTTTCTAAAATCTGTTGTATATATGTAACTACTAGCTGTAACCCGCGGGCTTTGCCCCGTTTAACTTCTTAATTTTCAAGAAAAAAGAACGAGTTTGTATATTAAGTTGTTTGTTGATATTTTTGTAGAGTAGAATCAGGAGATGCAATTAAACATATACTGTATTTGCTATTACAATTTTTAGTCCTTGTTGCTTTGATAATCATATTAGTTTTGTCTGCTGTCTTTAATGCTAAATTATTTGTTTAGATTTTTTATAGTACCTATAGATATAGTCTCTTTAATATAAAAAAAAAACAGTATTGATAAGGCACAGCAATATTTCTAAAGTTTATAACAGCTGACTTAGTTTTGCTAATGATTTATTGTGAGCAAGAAACTGAAGATGGAAGGATTTGTGATTTAATATAAAGAAGAGTGAAATTTAAAAAAATGTTCATTTAAATTTAATAATTAGTATTTTTGCAACTTCAAAATTGAAATTTAAAATGGCAATAATAAATCAAAAGATATGTAAGATGAAGGTAAATCATGTAGGCATATGTCAATGTTTTATTCGAAGATTTGGTAATTTGTTCTCATATCAGCCTACACAAGATTTAAATTTAATCAAAACCAAAATAGTGGTATCCCCTACTTACCAGATTTAAAAGTCATATAACTTAAACGTTTCTATTAAGGCTATAAAGGTTGAATTTAGTTTCTAAAAGTGTTGGCGGATGTGTAACTATTATATGCAACAGATGTAAAGATTAAAATGTTTCTATTTTGTGTCCTCTTCCCGTTGCAAAGCACGGGTACAACAGCTAGTAGTTTATAAATATGTTGAGAGAATAAATACTTGTAAGATTTAAAACGAAAAACGTGGGGCGCTCGCAATGGTGTCCTGTAAATCGCCACCAGTGACATTCGCTACCAGTGACAATCGCTACCAGTCCGGCCCGTTCTTGGAAAGAGGGTTCGTGGGTGTTGGGTGGAGGGGGAGGGGGAGTGCCGAGACTGTGTCATACTATGATCACGGCTACTTCATAGTTAGTACCAGAATTAGCTAGTTCCGATCCAAAGGAGAGTTAGCGATAAGTTCAAAGGATTGCAATAGTTAACGTTTTTTATATTGATTCTTACACTATTTGTTTTTAGTCAGTATACATGGTTTTGTTAAATACTTTTACCGTTGGACCTTTTACCATAAGATGATCTAGGTGGGTATGATGATTCACCTCACACGTACTTTGAAGGAATGTACGCAAAATAATTTAGTTTGGGAAATACCGTACTGCATAATTGGTCCTAAAATATTCGCTAGGTTCGTTCCCCCGATAATGGAATGGGCTATGATAAAATGCTCTGTAAACTTATACACTAGCCTGCTTATGCTATCAGAAAGATCAGAAGCCTGAGATTAACTCATTGCAATGCATCAACGGAATGGATAGATCAACATTAAAATTGTCTTGTGGCATTATATTCTGCAATAATAATAAAAAGTGATACCCGCCGCCGCAGCAAACCTGCCGACAAAGCCACAAGATCGTTTTTGAAACTCTTAAAACAATGCTCCTTTATATTCTGACTGTCATATTGATTCGTATAAAAGAGCTAACAATACTCATTTTTAGATGAATACAAAAAATAAGACGATAAACATTTAAATGTACTCCGTGTGTTTCTAAGTAGTTTAGGAACTTTTCTGTACTTCTTCAAACTTAAATATCTAATCTTTATTAAAAGTGAGATTGTAGGTAGAATCCGCATGGCTCGGCGCGGCGGGAGCCCCCATCGTACAATTTAAGTTACATTACAACCAAATTACATCAGCTAAACATAAAAAAATTACTTAAAAATTTACATCCATCTAATTAACTTACCTGACCAAAAAAATGAAAAAAAGTAGTTGCCAACGAACTTTTTCATGTCATGTTTTCCCCGGTCTGTACCCGTTGGATAACATCTCCTTATAAGGAGTATTTATCTTATGACATTTTTAATTGAATGTTGTTTTAAAGATTAATAATTTCATGCAAACGGTTACTTGGTGTTTATTGGTTATTTAAGGGCATCACTTTCAAAAATCCTTACCTAGGATCTAGTCTGCGTGGTTCATCAACAGTCTGTTTTAAGTTCCAACTCAAATTCGGAACTTAAAGCAGACTTGGGCATTCTTGGGTGGTAAGTGAAGGGAGGGGAGTAAGGTATGCCGTCACGTAGAGTGGTGGAGTGGTGACTCACGGCCGCAGGTAGAAACTGGTAGCGATTGTCGCAAAATTTTAGTTGGCAGCGATTGTCAGTGGTGGCGATTAACAGGTATTCCATGCAATAGATCATTAGTTCAATAGGTGAAGATAATTGTAAATTAATTAGCATGCGCCCACGTTTTTCGTTTTAAATCTTACAAGTATTTATTCTCTCAACATATTTATAAACTGTTTTATACTTTTTAGTGCGTTTAAAAACGTGATATTTTTAAAAAGTATTTTTATTTATAAATTTGCTTTGTTTTTTGACTTCTTTCTCAAATATCAAAAACAGCTGATGTATCAGTACACTCTACACATGCTTAATTTGTCTAAATCCGTTAAATCTCATTTTTAAATTGTAGGCCTACTGTAAATAGTTTATTCGTTATTAAATGTTTCGTTGTTTAAAAACTTCAAGTTTTGTAAAAAGGATCTGGTGATGGTATAACAATATACAGAAACGCGTAATCCTGTTGGATGTTCGATGACCGAATATAGGCAGTCTGCAGGTATTGTAACCTTCTTATTTTGATTTGCATGAAGTGGCCTAGAAAAACAACTACAACATGAAAGCAATAACCTCTAATAACTTATTGCGAAGAAGGTTAGCATAATCTCTTAAGAAGCCACTTACCTCTTTAAAAAATAAATAGGTCAAATGCTTTTTGACTTGTCTGAGAGTATTTATCACATACTGATCGATACGATCATAGAATAAAATGTTTTTTATATACAATATGGTTTACCTAGGGTAAGTTCACAGTTACTTCTCCAGTAATATTATGATTCATTGATTGGGCTATGATATTCTGTTGGACAATTACAAACCTATCTCCCCGAGGGCTGGGCCATAGTAGAAACAGTTGAATATGAAGACAGGCATCTTGGCGAGCAGGAAGAAGTCGCTCAGAGCTAAATTCATGACCAGCACGTTGGCTGGAGTGCGCAGAGAGCGGCACCTTTAACAGGAAAACATTCGTAACTCAACTATTTATTCACACTGAGCAGTTCAAAATTTCTAATTGTTCTGTAAAATATACAGGATAAGTAAACAGCCAAACTCCAGGAAATGGTTATGGGTCAAAATGAAGATAAAATCAAGAATGAAACTTTTTTCCGAAATCTCTTCGTTAAACAGGATCCGCCATTTCGTATTTTTTACATAATGATTTTTATCTTTGGACTGTTCGAATCGATCTTTTTATTTAGTCCAAGCAAACTAAACAAACTTACATAGGGATCGTTAAAAAAATTGCAAGAAAACGTTTTATGGTTTTATTTTGTAGAGTTGGGTTTGCAGAATGACATACTAAAAGTTGCCAAAAATTGGTGCACGAGAAAACCACTAAAATCACAATTTAAAATGGCGGCTTTTTCCAACATTGGACAAATTAAAAAAACACATTTCACATGCATTTGTTATGCACATTTTTCCAGATATTGACTTGGGACCACCGCCTGTATTTATTGGGTGGTTAGTACTTCATTTTCATAGGGAACATGTTTTTGGCCCCCATCTTGGATCCACCATATTGGACATTGATATTTTTTTTCAATGTAATGATAGTGTTGTGATACATCATTACCAACTACATTTTTACACTGATTTCAATGCCGAAATCCGTTTTTAAAACTCTTTATTCATTTAGAAGATATATTCAAACGAAAACTCCCCAACATACATTTCTTATGGACGTTTTGTGGTTTGATATTTTTTTTTAAACTATTTTTCTTAGATCTCCAGTTCTTATTGACGCTTGTAGTTCGTTCTAGGCTTAAAATATTCAGTAATGTAAGGGCTTTTATTTGAGCTCTTGATCATTAAAATCAGACGAGTTAAAGACCAGCTACGAACCTCAGAACAATATAAAATTTAACTTTTTAGAAATATATTTTTATTAAAAGATTTATAACTCGGGTTGTTAATACGTCATCAAGTTCTTTCTGGTCTCAAATTACTCAGTGAATGTTTAGCTTTGATTTTATTAATCACTAAACAAAATCTGACAATTTTAAAATGAGTCATGGTTCTTAATTTAACATTAAAATGTATTTATTTTGAAATTTGTCTCTAGTAAAGGGCATTTATCCCAAACCCTAATAACTCCCGGAAAGTAATCCATAGCTAAAATAAAAGTCAATAATTTGGCGAATTATTTAAGACTATAAAGAGTTTTGGGAGTTATTTAGAATTGGGGATATACGTCTTTAACTAAAGTCAAATTTCAATATAAATACATTTTAATGTTAAATTATGGTCCATGACTCATTTTAAAATTGTCAGATTTTGTTTAATGATCAATAAAATTAAAGCCAAACATTTACTGAGTAATTTGAGACCAGAAATAACTTTGTGACGTATTAACAACCCAAGTTATAAATCTTTTAATAAAAATATCTTTCTAAAAAGTTAAATTTAATATTGTTCTGAGGTTCATAGCTGGTATTTCTACATTCATTGTACAAGTTATTAAAGCAATGTGACCTGAGATGACTGGGACGGGTGGCGTCGTCCTGTAATCCAGCTACTAGGAGGTCACGAATTGTGGATATTTATAGGGATGCACTGTGGATGCGATGCTCCCTGGTGTGGATTAACGTCCGCACTAGTGAGTACTACGACTATCCGCAGTACTATCCTGATAATTAGACCAATTCGTAAATTACAAGGAAAAATGTGGTTCGGATTCCACTATAAACTGTAGGTCCCTTAGTTGCCATTAGCTGTATGGGCTATTAATTAACAGCTGTGTCTAAGGAACATATCGGCCTTAGTCACTAACAAGACTACAAGATCGCGCCACTCATCCTACACTCATCCTTCACTCATATTTGGGTTAAAATACGCACATAGTGGCGTCCCCATCTTAACTAATTGATAATTGATAATTGATTTAACTCGTCTGATTTTAATGATCAAGAGCTCAAATGAAAGCCCTTACATTACTGAATATTTTAAGCCTAGAACGAACTACAAGCGTCAATAACAACTGGAGATATAAGAAAAATAGTTTTAAAAAAATTATCAAACTACGAAACGTCCATAAGAAATGTATGGTGGAGAGTTTTCGTTTGAATATATCTTCTAAATGAATAAAGATATTTAAAAACGGATTTCGGCATTGAAATCAGTGTAAAAATTTAGTTTATTTATTTATTTATTTATTTATTTATTTCAACGGACATCTCCATTTTACAGCATACAAAACAAAACAATAAACTCAGGATGACTTAAATTGATAATAACAATTTTTGTGCTTAATATTAGAAATAAAATGAACAATATATAATGATCTAATAACAAACAACAGTAACAATGCCAAACCTAGCCAAACAAAACAAAAACTGACAAAATAACAAAAGGTTAGTTGGTAATGATGTGTCACAACACTATCATTACATTGAAAAAAAATTACTAATGTCCAATATGGCGGATAAAAACATGTTCCCTATCAAAATGAAGTACTAACCACCCAATATATACGGGCGGTGGTCCCAAGTCAATATCTAGAAAAATGTGCATAACAAATGCATGTGAAATATGTTTTTTTTAGTTTGTCCAATGTTGGAAAAAGCCGCCATTTTAAATTCTGGTTTTAGTGGGTTTCTCGTGCACCAATTTTTGGCAACTTTTAGTATGTCATTCTGCAAACCCAACTCTATCAAATAAAACCATAAAACGTTTTCTTGCAATTTTTTTAAGGTCATATCCTATATTTCTCCGACTAATTCGATTATTTTTTTTAATGAAATTTGGTATGTTATGCTTTTAAAATAAGGTGCAATCTGACAAGCTTAGCCGTATTCTACCTCATTTTACAACTAAAAATCGTGACCTTTCAGCTATTTTTTATTCAATCTTTATGAACTTGGTGTAGTTTCATAGTAAATGTTATGCTGAATAAAGGCGTTCTTGACATTTGTCAAGAAACCAGCAATTTTTTTAGTTATTTAAACTAACAACATTGAAATGGCCGCTATTTATGAAATTTTTTATTGGACCGAGTTAATTAACCTATGGGAACATGAAAATGAAAAAGTAAATCGGCGCCGGGTCTAGGTCTTACCATTAGATGACCTACGGTAATAGTTACTTCCATGGGGATGCAGAATACTGTCCCCCGGAAAACCATCCCCCCAGGTGAAACGTGACGTCACAAAATCTAAGGAAAATTTGTTAAGATCTATGCGCTTTAGAACTGTGTGAATTAGATTTCCAGTCTGCAGGTCAAAAAAAAAATATAATGTGTGTTCAAAAAAGGGTGGGACATAATTTACGTAGTGATTCCTTGGGTCAAAATAAAGAGAAAATCAGGTATAATATTTTTTTCAAAAATCGCTTCGTTAACCAGATATCCGCCATTTTGTATTTTTTACATAAACATTTTTATCTTTGAATCTTTTTGACCGATCTTTATGAAACTTGGTAGGCTATGTATGTTAAGGTAAAAGAGACCAATGTTAGAAAAAAATCATCTTGATTCGACTTAAAATTTCAAAATGGCGGTAATTTTAATTTTTTAACTTAAATAACACAAAAACGGCTGATTTTATGAAAAAATGTGAAGAACGCTTTTTTTAGAATTTTTAATTCTCTATCAAACGGTACCAAGCTCAGAAAGATCTACTAATTAATAGCTGAACTATCACGAATTTTAGTTGTAAAATAGGGCAAACCGGACCATCTTAGCCTTATTCTACCCCATTTTACAACTAAAGATCGTAATATTTAAGCTATTTCTTATTCGATCTTTTTGAACTTGGTACGGTTTGATAGGGAATTAAAAAATGCTAAATAAAAGTGTTCTTGACATTCCTTCATGAAATCAGCCGTTTTGTGTAATTTAAGTTAAAAAAAAATAAAATGGCCGCCATTTTGAAATTTTAAGTTGAATCAAGATGAGTTTTTCTAACATTGGTCTCTTTTACCTTAATATACATTACCTAAAAAGTACATACATACTTAATGGTACATACATAAGTTTCATAAAGATTGGTCAAAAAGATTCAAAGATAATGTTTATGTAAAAAATGCAAAATGGTTGATATTTGGTTAACGAAGTGATTTTGGAAAAAAATGTTATACGTGATTTTCACTTGATTTTGACCCAAGAAATCACTACGTAAATTTTTTATACAAACTAATTTATTTACAAAAGTTTACCTATATTACCTATTTTTAGTAAATCATGTATGTTCTGTGTAAATAAAGATTCTAATTATTAGGAATATTTTATACGAAAGAGTAGTGAATGACAGCATAGTGAGGACCGTATGATGGATGTGTAGCAGAGGCTAAAACTGTAAGTAGGCCAAGGAATAAAAAGGGAATCAAAAGGGGATATTTTGGTTTTTATATTACATGGTTCAGTAAGTAAAATAAGTGAATTGTTAGAACACAACGATGTAATTTACTAAAGCGAGTCAGCCAGTGGTAAGGTCCAGAAGTGTCAATTGTGCCTGAGGCATTGTGGCAGCCACTCCAGGCATTGTCTCGTCGCTGCTCATTGTCCAAGTCAAGAGTCAAGCAAGCATCCCTAACCCAACCTTTGACAACTTGACTCGACTCGGGGAGCAACCGCACCGGCACATAGGCCTACAAACACGACTTATGTTGGCCACGTCCTACGTAGGGAATCGAGTATTATCAATAAAAACTTAATGCAATCCAGAACAGGCTCTTATAATTTATACATTTAATTCTTTTACCAAAAGAGATTAAAAATGAACGTATAATAGCAGAACATGTACAGTAATAGCTTCGCTTCGCCAACCTCGATCAATTAATTGATAAATTAATTGCTGTTGGATACGCATCTTACAGTTTTGTGCTAGACCTAAGAAACTTGAATTTTTATTAATACCCCCACCACAGCAAACCTGCAGACTAAGCTAATTTCGGGTGAGGTTCATAATGTCCAAATTTCACAAAGTCCAACGTCTAAAATATTAAATAAAC